AAACCATCGCTGCATTTTAGGAAGCCATAGCGCCTATCCAGAAGCTGACGTCCTAAGCCCAACATCCAACATGCGAAGCTACGTATATCCACAACCTTCAGTAGAGCGTACAAACGTACATATACACACATATATATATATACACGTATATATATATATGTGCATTTATGTATATATATATATACATATTAATGTAAGGAATTTCCTCGGTATGCAACACATATATAGACATACATATGCGGTGGGGTTGAAGAAGATTGTTCAAAGCAAGCATGCCTATCTAGACCCGAATCCCTAAAGCCCTATACCATCCCCAGTTTCCATTCATTTTCCATTTGATTCTCCACCCAATAGTCCATTAATCCTGCACGAATCATCGCCCCGCCAGCAGCGAGGGAAGGCCGGCGCAATGTGTCAGAGTAGCGTGGGCGACAAAGCCCAGCGCGGCAAGGCGCGAAACCATGGCTGCAGGAGGAAAACTCATGGGCTTCGGGCACTATTGGGATCATAGAGGGACTCTACGTATAGGGAAATATGTAGGGGTTGTTGGGTGCAGTGCAGAGGTCAAAGGAGTTGAGTTTTTGTGGGGGGGGTCTGGCTTCAGGGTGTAGGGCTTCAGGCCCTCGCCACTTGCATGGCATCTCGGGCTCAGGCTTGACGAGTTTAGGGGCTCTTGGCGAAGGAAGAAAGACTTTCCAACATTAGCGAGGCCTGTACAAAATAAAGGCGCCACAGAACAAGGACGGAAAGGTGGCAAATCCCTCAGCTTACGATCTGCAATGAGCCTGAGGGTTGTACAAATGGAAAAGATCATGACTACAAAGCTGCTCATCTGTGCTGGAAGCTGTGACCCCTTACTGATCAAAGGGACAGCAAGACTGTTGGGCTTATGGCAGGCCTGCGGCTACAACTCCCTACTAAGTTTTGCAGGTGTCCTGTTGGTAGTTTCTTCCCGGTCCTTGAACACTACACTGAGGCTGCAGCCTGCCACCTGAGGCTGTAGCCTGCCACGCCCAAAAACAATCTTAGCACAGCACTTATAAGGTTGCGCGGATAACTTGAAACCTGGCCATCAAGCTTCAGGCACCTTTATTTATGTACGCCACGGCTATAGGCACCTCGCAAAAACCAAAAATAACAGTGTCAACCTGAATCTTGAAGAGGCCCAAACCATCCTCAGCCCTCCTGCGTGCACACACTAAGCATGATCGATCCCCGGACCATGAGCAACCCCACCGGGGTGAGGCAAAACTGCCCATCATATTGTTGAGATCAACCTCAAACCCTAGGCCTTAGGTGGACCCCCTACCCAGTAATAGTGACTATAGGGGATGATAGGGATTTAGGGATTATATTAGGGTCCTCTTATATTCCTATTATAGCACTATTACAGGGTGGGGGGTCCTCCTAACCTAGACCCCAAAATCCCAATCAGAAGAGTCGTCTCCCTCCGTGGCCGCGACGAGCAGGAAGCGCGGCTGCCACCCACGTGCCAAACTTACGCCTGAATTCGACTGGTGAAGCGGAAAGTGCAAAATTGTACCCAAAAAAAGGAGGCCGTTCCCAAAAGCCTTGGAGGCTTCTAGTGCAGATCCCTCATAAGTTTCCTTTGTTCCACCCATGGAGTGCTCTCATCTCTAACAAGTTAAGGACTCAAAAACTCCATGAATTTCAATGCTGCGAAGGGTCCAAAGTCTTCCGCAGGAAGCAGCTGAGTCCCGGGCACCCACTCTCCTCCAGGCCTCCCACCCAAAGCTTTAATGGGATTATAAGAACATGTAGGGGTTATGTGAGGTGTGAAGGGATATATCCCCAAAGGCTTTAATAGGATTATAGGGATATGTAGGGGTAAGATGTGGTATAGAGGGATACTTCCCCCAAGGCTTACTGGGATTATAAGGAGATATAGGGCTTATTAAGGTATATAGCAAGGCTTTAATGGGATTACAAGGATATACAGAGGTTATATGAGGTATATAAGGATGTTTCCCCGGTTATAGAACATCAAATGGAAAAGCAGATGGAAGATGAAAGGTGCCTTTTTCAGGGTCCCCGTCACAAGGTCACAAGGATAATAATGCATTGGCAGTTAGGGAAATTAATTAGGATTTACAATTCAGGAACTGGCTCAAACTTCAAGTAAAGGAACAGCATGGGAACATGTACAGGGGCTATGGTCATGTGCCAGGGGGTCGTCCCACCCCGTAACAACCTGTCTCCAAGCCAGGTCATCGCCAACAACGAGTACAATGTTTCCAGCGGCAAACAGGGAAGCCTAGTTCCGGGGAACATCCACTTCTGCAGGGGGTGCAAGCGTGACGCTTATCATAATTAGGACCTAGGCAGGGCCATGCCGCTGTACTATGTGAGCTATAATCTCCATATCCCCCCTTAATAACCCCTATAATACTTCCTGATATAAACCCTTATATAACCCCTTCAAGGAGTTTAGACCTTAAGCCCTAAACCCTAAACACTGTATATGCATAAACCTATAACTCATGCGCCTCACCTGCAAAAACTGATTGGTTGCCAGTGCCACGGTGTTGGAGAATGTCAAGAGTCAAGACCAGGTGTACACAGTAGGGTGTACAGGGATATTAGCCTTAGGGCTTAGGGTTTAGGGTTTGGTTTAGGTTGCCCAAAATTGGAAACAATTACCTCAACAATGGAGAATCAACTGGAAAAGCAGATGGAAAACGAAAAGGGGACCAGGGCTTATATACATATATATATATATATATAAAGATAGGTGCATGTGTTGATGGGAAGCAGGAACAGCTTGAAGAACATTCTGAAGCTCATTGCCCGAGATTTGGAAGTCTCCAAAGCCGGGGCGCCGTGCTTTGGATGGCAATATTTTAGAGGAACCGCTATTACAGGGTCCTATCATATGTTTTCAATCGTCGGGCCCCGTTTCTGGGGTCTTGTTGTTGCTCTACTAGTTAGAGGGCTGAAGCTGGCGAAAACAACAGATTTTGCCAAAAGAGTACCCGTAACAGATCATCCTAGCCCTAAGCCCTAAACCCTAAACCCCTAAACCCTAAACTGGCTTTAGGGTTTCAGGGTCAGTGCTTAGGATGCAGGCTGCACCCTGTGCCTGAGAGGAACTGATGCTCCAGGAAAGGTGAGTCATCCGGAGACAGCAGCTCCTTAGGGTTTAGGGTTTAGGGTTTAGGGGCAAAAGGCGAAAATCTCGTTACTAACGGATGCAGTATGAGACAATAATCCCCGCTCACTAGTATAAAAGCTCCCTCCTAACACAAATATTCCCACTGTGGTATATTACAAGTTATAATGTAAAGGAATGCCCTAAACAGTACACCCTAAACCCTAAACGTGGTATCAAGAGGAGGGGTTTATTATGATTCTTACTGTCTTTGAAGGATGCCATTCCTCCGGGATACAAGCTCTTCGAACATCCGGTTTAGGGTTTCAGAGATTTAGGGTTTATAGGGTTTAGGGTTTACTGTTTCTTTCTAGCAATGATGTTCATTGTTTGGGCGATCTGCGTGAAGTACGCACCCCCTCACATGCGGACTGATTTGTTATCCGTGGTGGTTTCCTTTGGCCATTGAACATGACATCTAGGAAGCCCCTCCAAAATCGAACAGCAAAGGCCAATGCTTGCGCAAATGTTCTTTCCTTTTCGGGTCCCTAGTATCATGCGGCCTGTAATGTTTGGTTTAGGGATGTTCCGGGTAGACAGGAATACCACATGTTGTTGACGACCCCAAATCCTCCAAACTGTTGAGGACACGTCTTCAGCACGGAAGCCTACGATCCTACAGGAGCAAAAGCACGCACAAGAAACAGCAGCAACCAAGACTCACCCATGCGCGTGCCGCGAGGGTCTCGAGACTGAAGGAGATCCGGGAGTTTCTCCACATTACCCTTCATGCATGACTTAAAGAAGGCGCAGAAGCCATGAGTAATGCCCATGACATATCCCTGGAGTTCCGAGAAGAACCCCTCTTTTTCAGAAGCCTCAGGTGATTGTTAAAGGACTGCTGTCCAAAGTCGAAGGCAAAGACCTCGAAGCGGGTTGCAGCGACCCTATGAGCCATGGTCTAAACTCTTACTATCCCCCTTAATAACCTCTGTAATACTCCCCTGTATAACAAGCCTTTTTGTGGAGTTAGACTGAGTTAGGCTATAGCTGGTACAAAGTTGTTTTGAGCAATGGCTGCCGCACGCGAGGGCCAGAAACTGGTTCAGAATAGTGGTAATAGTAAGGGTGACCATAGTAGCCATAACAATAGTATTAAGAAAACAGAAAATATGGATAGTCATACTAGTGGGGCAATAGTAGAAACGGGATGTGCGCAGCAATGGCCTCAATAGGCAGGCCCTAAACTCCAAAAGGCCCTGGGGCCCTTTAACCAGCATTCCACAGAAGTGGTGGCCATTTTCTGAGTTGGCAAAATGCTTGCGGTCGGTCATGAGCCTTAAGCCCAGGTTACTTTCGCGATCCGTTTCCCATCTTTTCCCCAATAAATGAAATTCCCCGCCACTAACAATTTGGGGATGCTTGTTGTTGGGGGTGTGGAGCTAGATCCACAAAACCCTAAACCCAAAACCTTAGATTACTAGCGGAGAGGATTCGACTGGGGCAAACAGTGAGTGCACTGCTGCCTGCACTTCAGCAGTATCGAAGACAGGGGTGAGCCTTGGACGACTTTGCACGGACCATCACCTGCAGACTGAGGGTTCATGCCAGGAACTGCAATGGAACCCTAGAAAGAGCGCATTGCGTCAAGGCCCACGCCCTGTGGAAAAACTCTGGTAATGCCTCAAAGTAGGGAACACCGACATGCCATGTTCAGAACCTTGGACGGAGCCGAATGTGCCTTACAACCATGGGCTCTCATATGGGCTTTCATGCAGGTTGCGGTTTTGAGGCACTGCAACAAAATCCCTGGCTAGTCCATTGTTTCAGCCGTCCCCAAGCAGGAGGCTGTGAGGAGGACGGAGTGGGCTGCAGTCTTCTGAGGAGTCAATCACTCATCAAAAAGATCCGCCTCTTGAGCGATTTCCAGCAGCTTTGGGACAGACATGCGTGCGTCCAGTGAGTCCAGCGCTACGCCATTGCTCAGGAAGATCTTGACCTGAAAGCTCCGGAACTCTCGTTTGCTTGCAATGGTGTAAAGAACGTCTGCCAGTGTGTCGACAGTGGTGAACGTAAAGCTTGCAGCTTCCTCTGCGGACATGGACAGCAGCAATAAGCGGAAGGTGCCATCCACCTGTTGCAAATCTGCCGTGAATACAAGGTTACTGGTGCTCAGCGGCGTGTGCATGTCCCCGGGCGGTATGTGGAAGGGCTGCAGCAAAGTCGCTGCGGTTGGCTTAATGACGTTCTGTTGCAAGGCAGTGGTCCCCACACAGCGAAACAGTGTCCGCCTCTGTGGTTTAGGGTTTGTGCACATCACCCCAGCAATCGAGAACCAAATGTAAAAGACAATACAAAATGCAAGGCAAACCGGGTTTATTTTGTGTCCGCCTCTCCGGCTCTGCCAGCCACTTCTGAAAGTCATGAACTCGAGCTTGATCTACGGGGAAGAGCCTTTTCCGGACTGACCAGAGACGGTGGCGTCCGTGATATTGGTCTCCATTCCTGCCGTAGACCACCTCCAAACACAAGGAGGGGGTCCCTTAGCGATAAGATGGGATTAGCGGGCTGGAATGGAAGTGTATTCCACAACTTGTAGCTACAGCATAACCCTAAACCCTAAACCCTAAACCCAGGAAGCATGTTACTTTAAGGATGGTGGTCGACCTGCCTTCAGATACCAGCTGATCTTGGCTTCCTCGTTCGATGCCGTTTCACGTAGAGCTACCAGCTGTGTGCGGCCCAGGGCCAGCTCTGAAAAGAACCACCACCTGGGTTGGCCCCTAAAACCCTTTGAAAAATCTTAGTATATAGGGTCCCTTATTAAAGCCATTAGGGAAAATATTGAATATCCCAGGGACCTACCCAGCCACCTCTTGGCTTCTCAAAACCGTCTTTCTGGAGGGCTCCTACTAGAAGCTTCCCAATATTTAGGGGCTTGTGTATAATGTAAGGACACCAATGTTGAAAGATGCCCACCTCGGTCCAGCAGGGACGTGGGGCGGGACGTCGCCGATGTTGTGGTAGAAGTGGGCGCGACCATCGCAAACAAAGCTGATCAGGCTTGATGTGGCTGAGGCACAAACATATAGATCAGCTCGTCGCTTGGCCAGACGTCTGTGAAATTGCAGCGAGGACCAAACCCGGAAACAGATGCGGGCGGCGAGGAAGAGTAAAAAGATGATTAGACTTGGGGCAACCGATTCGAGCGTGAACCCGCCCACAATGACCGAGATGATGAAGTTGACAACAGGCACTAGGAGGTCTGCCCAGGGAAACCACTGCCAGCACAAGGTCCGATGTATCAGAAACTCGGTGGAGGCGAAGAACTTCCACGTCGCGCCGGCTAACGGCATGCAATAGACATGGCAAGACCTGGAGGCCATGTCTCGCTGCATCTGCCGGTGGTTCTTCTCCTGGAGCCACTGGTGCTGCAGAAGAACCGGGCTCAGGAACAAGCCACATATGCCAAGCAAGATCACTGCTATAAGGCCGACCGTCCAGATGGTATCATCGCTGCACCACATCTCTTGCAAGGCTGGCCCAGCAAGCTCGAGCGAAGCGTCTGGCTCAGAAGCCGGAGGGTAGAAAACATCGACATACTGGTAGCCCACACGCTTCACTTCCACTTCTTTTCCGGCAGCTCTCTCACAGTCGGCGTCGCAAGATAGTCCGACATAAGACTGCGCTTTCTTCAGTCGCTGCAGATGGTTCACAACATGGACGTGCTGGCCTTTGCTAAGCTGGTCCAGCTCATTCTGCCCGCAATTGAAGAGGGCTATCCAACCGGAGGCAAAGCAAAAGCACCATAACCTCGATTGCTGGCTGATCGCACTGGAATAGTAGTTTAGTAGAATATTGTAGTATATTAAACTATGATATCGGGAACTTAAATTGAGCTACAATATCATCAATCTTAGGGTTTCCTTACAATGGCAACTTCATTCAAGCTCCTTCTGGATATTTCCTGAAATAGGGGTTCCTTGCAATTGTACCTTTACTCAAAATTCCTGAAGAACAGCCCAGTAACGATACCGCAACAGCGAGGCAGCAGCGGGGAGGCTTTGGAAACTGGAAGGTCTCCAGGAGGAGCTCCCTGCCATGTGCTTCTGCCATTGCCACTGTAGGGGCTAGCAAAAGCTGGGCGTAGATCGTGGCAGGGCTCTGAAACGCTGGCGCTTGCTTGCTCAGTCAAGTAGATTACTAAGTAGGTTTAGACGTCTAAGTCTTGTAAGAACCTGAAACTTTGTGTCTGATCAAAGGTATGTAGCTTAATAAGCAGAAAGGAACTGTCACAAAACTACCTAACTACCGAACAAGAGGGGCTTTCTGCCAACCACCTTTGCCGCAACTCACAGAAATTGTCATAGAGTTCGTGACCATCCACCTTTGCATCTAAGCTTGCAAATGGTACCTGGAGACGCTGCGGCCCCTTTTGTTAAACAACTGTTTCTCCAATCCATGACCTTTCCTGTCGGAGTAGTTATAAGGACCCATTGAAGATGCACACACAAGTTGACAAGCTCGCTTCAATCAATGCGAGCAGATGCTAGGTGCGGAGCTCCTGAAGTGAAGTACGGACATCATGCAAGGGACCAACGCACAATATGTCAAAAGCTCAACAGCGCCTGATAAAAGAATGCACAAAGCAATCGACATCTCGCAGAAGCCCACAGCCTTTCAGATCAAATTGCGCTCGGCGCATACCAGTGGTGGCTGACATCAGCTTCTCAAATCATATTGCGATGTTTATGGTTACAATCTCAGTTTTTGATCATGATATAAGCATGGCCACTCAGAACGAGCACGTGCTTGAAGCAAAGCCTGCCCAGCATGTAATCGCTCTTTGCTTCTCCACGCAGACCTCTGCTTTGCCACGCGAAACTGCACAAGGCGTGGAAGCTCGCGAACTGCACTTGCCAGCGCAACACGAGGGTCCTCATCTTGGGTTTTGCCAACCTGTGACTTGCTGTTAGTGTCCATCTGACATGAGGAATGTGACATTTTTGGAAGTTTTCAGTGGGCCTGACCTCCAAGCAACGTCCAACTGTGCTGTGGGACTCAGCAATGCGTATGCGCATTTTTCATTGTGCGATGGTATGCCCTATAGAGGCTTGGCTAGTCAGGAACATGTCTCCTGGTCCTTCCTACTACTGCCATGTACCTGAGCTGGTAAGTCCTGAACCCATCATGGATGCCGACAAACTCTTTCCTCTGCCCGTGGCTGGCCATGTCTTAGATTCGGGAGTGGTAGTTGGCATCAACTGCGGGACCCCAACATATGGACCTCAATACGCTATAATCCTTATTATGGGAACCCCAAATGGTACCCCTAACTTTGGGAAACCCTAAAACAGTATAATCCACCTATGTAACCGCCAGTTTCCAATTTCAGTTTCCGTTTTTGATGCTCCATTATTGGAGTAATATGTCCTTATATACCCCATATCCCTACTTTGATAACCTCCAAGTTGATCCTACAGGCTGGCAGAGAAGTCACCTCTATCCATGCGCAGCTGATTATTGAACTCGGTGCACCCCCTTTGTCACGCCGGAGTACCCGCAAAGACACAGGCGTCTTCCACACATGTGTCCACAAGCTGCGAGGCACAAGTCGAAGGCAGAAAACTAGCAACAGCTGTACAAATGAGGCAGCCTGCGACTAAATGGGCCGGAGATGCATTAGACGCAGAGATCAAAGTACCCTTATCAAGGATCAATGTTAGTACGCGCGTCCACAAACCAATCACGATGGGGCTCCTGATTTCTAAGGTAGGGTGGAGGCCCGTAAATTGATGAATCGATGTCTGTAGCAAGCCTCAAAAATTCCCATTGAACTTGGATAAGTTGCTCGGCTAGTTGCCGACCCTACAAAAAATAGGGTTGAAAGTTGGGAAAACAAGAATACTAGTGTAACGCAGCCTTCTTGAGACTGCCGTGCACCTTTACTCAGCCTAAGTCGCTCTTCCGATACCGTTACCTAGACAACAAGTAACAAGTACACCTGCCACGGATGGTGCTGCCTAAAACCCTAAGCCCTAAACCCTAAACCTTGTGTTAGTACCACAGCTGCTGCTCCTCCAGCTCTCCTCATTCCGATACTACCACCACCACCTGCATCGTGACGACTACTACAGGCCCCTGGGCAGAAAGTAGATACAAGGACCCTAAACCCTAAACCCTGAACTTTAGACCCTAAACCCAATCATGAGCGGATGTACTTCTCCGACCCAGCTGCATGGACGACCCGAACTTTGGAACGGCATCGCCAATCAAATCCAGTGGCCTTCTCAGACATTACCTGTGGCCAGGTTGATCTCCTATTCTCCAATACCTGAACCCCAAAGTATGTAGAATAATAATGGCCTTCTGAACTATTTTGAGGGGTTTTGGGCTATCATTTTACTTACTCTTGGGGTTTAGGTAACAATCAGAAGAATTACAATAACAGTATTGGTAATGAATAGAAAAAAGGAGTGCATCTGTATGTGTCCCTACCTCTGAAAAGCTGAGAACTTGCAAGTTATTGTTGAAATTAACAGCATTCCGCTTTCCGTGTTGGCTACGGCTACGGGTCCTGTATGAAGCTGTCATTGAGGCTCATGTGTTTTACTGGCTTCTGGTCCACATGCGCACCGCACATATGACTGTTGTGGCTGTAATTAATATTATTTGTCTTGGTGGTATTCTTATTGCTGCTACTGCTACTGCTTCTGCTTCTGCTTCTGCTACTGCTACTGCTACTGCTACTGCTACTGCTACTACTACTTCTACTTCTCCCGCTACTGCTACTACTACTACTACTACTACCACCTATACCTACTCCTCCTCCTGCTGCTGTTGTTGCTATCATCATTGCTAGTTTCATCAAATTCATTATGACATTTTTGGCTTCAAGGCTGACTTCTTGGTATGTGGTACACTTTGGGTTCTGGAAACAGGTCTCTCCTTCGCACACACAGAGGCTACGGTGAATCTTGCAGGTTCTACCCAGGATCTTGCGGGCAAGGTGCGTACACGTCGCCATGGTGAACCTGCGAGGTCCATTCCCCGAGACACCCCTACAAATCTATGTATACAAACAATACCTACCTTGGGCCCTAAAGTCTGTAAATATTACCTACATTGGGCTGTTTGGATCCCAAGGGCACTAACTGTGGAGAGGTCCTTCTTACCGGGTGTAGGCGGTAGACTCCGAGAGATTTTTATGGCCCCAAACCCCTCTTCGAGATGCAAAAGTATGCTGAGGGATGCATTACATGTGCTAGCACTGAAATTGGGAAACTGTTCGTGTCTGGCATGCCTGCAAGGGACGCATAAGTCTGGATTAAAAGTGCTGAAGGTTGAAAGACTTACATAAGGGCTTCACGGGATGAGGACTTCGGGTTTGTAAGCCGGCTGTGGGCCTGGAAAGTCGGACCTAAAAAATCTAGGCTTGTGGGATGTAGCAAACAAAGCCAAAATAGGAGTTTCCCAAAATTGGGTGTACTATTTTGGGGTCCATATTGGGTTTCTCTTATTTTGGGAACTACCAAATTCCATGTCCCATGATCCTAGACAGCCCTGCAATAGTCCCTGATCGGTGGCTTGGGTTTGGTGGTGCCTTTTGTATTTTTATTTTTCTTGGCTGGGGACGGGGGGGTTGGGTGGAGTCCCATATCAATCCTAGGACTAGAAAATCAACTATAGGATGTCACCGGGTCATAGCTTGTCCCCCTAACCCTAAACCCTGAACTCTATACCCTAGAAACCTTCAACCCTAGCTTCGGCTTGTAGACCTTAACCTTACTGGTGCTTAAAGGACCTTGGGGTAATGGGTCCTCAGAACGAACCCCATAACAAGACTTATGTTTCCTCCCCCTTCTACACCAGTAAGTAATCTGTAGGCGCTCACCCTAATGGTTCAAGTGGGCCAATAATATGTATACTTATTTATATGTTTACATACACATAGATAGTATGAATATTACGTTCTGTTCTAGTGTATTTTATTTTATGAGATGGTATCATATAAAATGCACGATTTTGCTCAAACATCTATAGAGAAACCCGTCGGGCGCGAATGTATTACTTTTAGGTAGTTGGGCCCTCTAGCTCAAGCCTAAACCCTATGCCCTAAAGTCTAAACCCGAGCCCTAAACCCTAAACCCCAGCACCTGAAACCCCATGCAACAAAGGTGGGCAGGCAAAAACTAAACCCTGTTTGGTAGTTTCCCTGAATAAGGGGTCTCTAGTCTCTAGTGCAGACCTCAAAATACAAGAGTCCTTAAAATAAGGACGCCCAACGAAGAAAACCCTAACCTTGGGAAACCCTATATACCCCTATAGAATTCCCAGATCCTCCTTTAAACCCTAAACCCCGCTAATTTTGGGAAACCAGCGTTTGCCTCAATGTCAACAGGCCCGAAGTTTTCTGATGAGCCCGGCCGCCTTCCGAGGAGTCGAGAAGGCAACCCCGAATTCATGGTTTTTGTTTTTTTTAAGCCTTTCGGACTGCTGAAAAACTCAGGGTTTAGGGTTTAGGATTCCAAGAAGGAGATGTAGGGTTGTGTAAGGTTTAGGATGCATAGGTTTTAGGATTTAGAGCTTTTATGAAATTTGTGTTCCCTTTTTGGGGCGTACCTAAAATACCGTTGAAGTATTTTGCGGTATATAAAAGTCAACCCGAGGCATTTTTGTCTATACTCTCGGGACTGACTACCTAAGGGGCACCAAGAATATCCAAGAACTTTGAGGAACCCATACCCATCTCCAAAAAAGAGAGCCCCGAACACAGAGCCCTTTCAAAGTCAGTGGGGATAGTCCCCACACTGAGCAGGCCCTTCAAAAGGGTGTACCTATAATTATGCGCTATATTCTAAACTCCTAGCATCCGCGTCAAGAGGCCTTATAATGCTACCCTATATAATCCTATGTATAGCATCCCTCTAAGAAGCCCTATACCCCCTACATAATCCCGTGTATAACCACCCTTTAAGGAATTTGAGATTATGGCTCATATGGGCGGGGGCGGCGATGCAGGAAGATTGGGGACCTGCTACAGGGCTTGGGGTTTAGGTGTCGCTTTGGTGGCTACATCACTTCAGAATTTCGTCATCTTTTAAACTTTGTAGCTA